AACGTTTACAAAATAAACATTGGAACATACAGATAGGTATTTTGAATAAACTAGGAAAAACCTTACTAAGTGAACCTTGTAGTACGGATGAAAAAACAAATGTACATAGGTCAATAAATATTTGACAATATCAAATTATCACAAGGGAAAAATTGTCTCATTAGGAAATGAGACATCCTGTATATAATTCATATATAGTGTACTGAGCATTTCATTCAATTCGCATAATTAATTATATCTATGTACAGCGTGTCTCACTTTAAACGGCCCCCCTTTATATCTCAGTTATTAGTCATGCGATTCCAACCAAATTTGGTGTGGTATAAATAACCATCAATATGATCAGTTTTACAGATATGCACATTATTTTGCACAGTGCCGTGCGTTTTTATTGAAATAAAAAGGGGTCGATTTTTCATAAAATCATATTAGGCATTTTTTTACAGGAAATCTAACCCCATATCATTGTTCCTCATGCTTTCGAACCTCCATATGCAAAAAATCACCTAACTCCGAATTAACAGGATTGGCTTCATTTTTTTCATTTTCAGTCTCGCATAAATAGTGACTTCAAATCAACTACGAATTTTGGAACGTTTAATGGCTCCGGTAGGTGGAAAATCATGATTTGGAAGGAAAAACAAGTTATACTTTTTTATGTTGAACTCACCGTTTCCGAGTAAATAATTATTACGTTCGCAAAGATGCTGTTTAGATGTGCCTGTTTTTCTGAAACCCTTCATAGTCATCTTATGAAAATCCACATATGTGGGTTTGAAACCATGAAGAATAATATTATGAGGTCAGTTTTCCTGTGGAAAAATACCTAATATGATTTAATAAAAAACTGACCCCTATTCATTTCAATAAAAATGCACGGCACTGTCTAAAATGATGTTTGTCCCTGAAGAACTGGTCATATTGATGATTATTCATACCAATACAAATTTGTTAAAGATCGCACGACTGATAGCAGAGATATATCTTTGGAAACAAACAAACAAAATAAAATCACTTAACCTACCTCATAATATATGCACGAAAAATGAAATAAAGAGCCCCAACTCGATGTATTTTTTACCTGTCACCGATTATGAAATCAAACATATTATTCTAAACTTGAAAAAAAAAATACTCTACTGGTATTGATGAGATCCCAGCTGTAATCCTGAAGGAGTGTGTTGACAACGTATCAGAATTTATGTCGATTCTAATTAACCAATCCGTAACACAAGGTCAATTCCCGGAAAAACTCAAAATAACAAAAACCATCCCGGTACTAAAAAAAGGAGATCCTCTTTGTATGGAAAACTACAGAATGATCTGTCTGCTAAGCTGTTTTTCAAAAATTATCGAAACTGCCGTATATAACCAACTAATCAAATATTTAGATAAATATAACATAATGACAGATTGCCAGCATGGTTTCCGACCTAACCATTCAACTGAAACTGCCACTGCTGACTTAATTCAGTACGTCTATGACAACATCAACGAAAATAAGCTTGTTGTGGCAATATTCTTTGATCTTACTCGTGCATTTGACACGATCAACTCGAAGTACTTAAGAATCAAACTCGAAGCAATGGGCATACGTGGTCCCAAACAATGCTGGATTGAATCATACATGTCCGGTCGAACTATCAAGGTGCAGGTTTAAAAAAAAAGTGTTTTTAACCGCCAGCTTAGTTGCAAAGCAACCCTCGAAAGTCAGAGACTTGTGTGAGTTAAGAAGACGGGGACCTTAGCTTTTTAAGTGTCATCCGAAGCACTACTCGGCTGGTAACCGTGGACAGTCCACGGGGATGAATGGTCAAATGAGTATGATATCAGGATTGGTACACCCCAGGGCGGAGTACTGGGGCCTCTCCTATTCACTCTCTATGTCAATGACCTGCCTAAACACATCGCTCAAGGACGTACTTTCATCTATGCGGATGATACCACAATTGTTGTTACTGCTAACAATAGGACAGCATTAAATCACAATATCAAGATTGTCACAGAAAATTTCAACTGTTGGTGTAGAGCAAACCATCTCATTAATAACATAAATAAGACAGTACTAATAGAATTCACTAGCCATTTCAATTTAATAGAAAATCTTTCTTATGATATATGTGACACAAAGATCTCAGCATCACAACAAACAAAATTTCTAGGTTTGGATGTAGACCATAAACTATCTTTCAACAGTCATGTTGACACCATCTGTAAAAAACTGAACAAATTGTATTATGCATTCAACACCTTGAAATCAAACTTCCATAGAGATCATCTAATAAACATGTACTATGCTCTAGTGTATTCCATCTTGAGCAATAACATAATTGTATGGGGCAGGGCAACAGAAGCTTCTAGGGCATTCATTTCGCAAAAGAGATTCATAAGGCTATTGTTTGACCTAGACCATAGGGAGTCATGTAAAGACACATTTATTGAAAGCGGCATTTTAACACTCACTTCAATTTATCTATACAAATTATTGCTATACACACACAATAATTTAGGAAAACTAGATAGAAACGGCGAATTTCATGAATACCCTACAAGAAGACGTGCCGATTTTCGTCTTCATCAAATCAAAAGAATGCAGCATAGAAAATCTCCTCTTTATGCTGGAGGCTATTTCTTCAACATGCTACCTCCAAACCTGAAATCATTGCAGGGTACCAACATTTTCAAAGCGCACCTAAAGAAATATCTATTACACCATGCATTTTACTGTCTTGACGAATATGTCCAATTGAATAATTAATACTGTCATCTTTTTTATACTGCATAATCCTCATGTACATATATATACACATATCTTGTTAGTCCTAGTCCAAAACGTGTTTTTACTTTTTTACTTTTTTTTAAATATTATATTTCACCATTTTTATTGCCTATATTGCATATCTGTACTTTCAACTAGTATAAGGACCTGTCTCATGTTATGTAAATAATCAAAAGAGATCAATAAAAGTATCTATCTATCTATCTATCTATAGAGGGGGAGCCGTTTGAAATGAGACACGCTGTATATTGCATAATATCATTGACATTATTGACATTTTTTTTCTACCTAGGTAAAATTTCCTCATCAATTCATCATTATTCACCTAGGTTTAAAAAGTGTTACTACTCATTAGAGGAAATCCTCGAATAACGGTGATTTCTCAGGTTAGTGGTGGAAAAAATTTATTATGTTAATGTTAATAATCCATGTTCACCATTTCGCAAGTTCATCTTCATCAGATCAGGGACCTGGTCGTTTCCAAATTGCATTTTTTTCCTCGCGAAAATAACTATTCGAAATAAAATTACATCTGAAGATGACCAACAACCGTATCATTGGAAAAGTAGTTCATAAACATGATTATTGTGCTCAATATCTCAACACAAATGAGGTAGAAAGTTGCAAAATGATAATCCTGACACATCATAAACATGCAGAAGCATCAACATGAATAAATGTTAGGTATATCAAAAACCAATAAGAAATATTGAGAAACTGCAGTGAGGAAAAATTCAGATAATTGATTTTGTCATTCATAGAAATATCAAAATGTTGTCAGTGGCGCACTCCAAAAAAGTTATATAGAAAATCTGGAAATAAAATCATTATTCAAACACCTCTAACGGCTCAACGGTGCATTTTCGTATAGAGGTAGGTTGATTTCAATCGGCCTATTATTTGGTCTCTAGTTCACTCTGAAGAGATTATGGTACGATGTTCTGGGACACCTTGTATATTATATCAACTGGCCAGGAAGCGATGTTATGTCTTCGTTCAGAATAATGCTAGAGGTTTTTATATTTCTTAGGTATTCTAATAGTGAAATTGTTAAACACAGTGACATTTTAGGGCAAATCATCTGATTTGTCCTTACAATATTGAAATAATAATCACATTTTTATTTGTAGAAACGGGGATAGCCCAAAAATCTAGAAATATAAATATTCTACCTACATTAAGTATCAAACGTTGTTCTAGGACACCTTGTATATTATATCAACTGGCCAGGAAGCGATGTTATTACTTCGTTCAGAAGAATGCTATAGGTTTTTATTTATTTTTTGTTTTAGGTATTCTAATAGTGAATTTGTGACATTTTGGGGCAAATCATCTGATTTGTCCTTAAAATATTGAAATAATAATCAAATTTTCAGAAAAAATTCGTTTTATTCCCTAGACGAATATATAGAAAAATGTAAAGAAGAAAGTTAGATCATTTTTTTTCAAGCTGTGCTGTCCTTTTGAATTGTCAAATTTTCAACTTGAAATTCAGTATGTTATTTATTCATATTTTTGAGCTGTCCTGTTCCACTCTTTTTGTATAATTGATTGTGAATCTAAAACTGACTTATCCAATGTCATGTAAAAATGATTTTTGAAGGATGAATAAAAAGTAAGTAAGTAAGTAAGAAACGAGGATATCCCAAAAATCTAGAAATATAAATATTCTACCTACAAAAAGTATTAAACGTTGTTCTGGGACACCTTGTATATAATATCAACTGGCCAGAAAGCGATGTTATTGTCTTCCTTCAGGAGAATGCAAGACGTTTCTTAATTTTTTTATCTTAGGTATTTTAATAGTGGATTTGTTAAACAGTGACATTTTGGGACAAATCATCTGATTTGTCCTTACTATATTGAGATAATAATCACATTTTTATCTGTAGAAACGAGGATATCCCGAAAATCTAGAAAAATATATATTCTACCTACAGACAGTATTTAAAAAATTGGATTTTGCCAAAAAATGTCTGTATGTTTATAGTCTGCTACATAGCAATGAAATAATACTAATTGAATATAGGCAGTGAAACTACTACTTTGTTGAAGTTAACCTGTTTCACAGATTCTTCATTCTTCTTCTGGAATAATGAGGTTTATTAGGTAACGGAAGAAGCTGGAATATTGAAGAAGCGAAGTGGCTAAGACGTGAAATTATTCAATATTCAACATAGGAGAGATTCATTATCCCTAATGAGAAAAAGTATATAGGTACCTTAGTACGGCGACATTTGGAAATAACCCAGCACATATCACAGCCTTAATCAAACTTGCATTGCGTGAGTTACGATTGAGAGGGGGATCTCTAGGGTTGAGACTTGAAACAAAATTCAAGTCCATCAAATATGTCATGAATTGGTCTTTCATTTTCTTCAGCTGACTAAGAGTGAAGGAGCTCAAGAAATATTCATAACAGAATCTTTGTGTATTGCCCTCAGTCTCATAAGTTTCCAGAGCCTGAAAAAGATAAATGTAATTTATTTATTAGTGACAGAAATCTTTGGTAGAAATCCATATATTGCTCAAAGTGGAGAGGAATTGTCAAAGGAAGGAAGGAAAACTTCAAAGTGTGAAGATGACTTTGAGCTTTCCTTTCTTTTACTAACAAAATATGTGATACAAAAATAACGTGAGTAAGTTCTCTATTTCATGTATTAGGACAGTCGTAACGTACACAAATTGTAGCAGAAATTTTAATAATTGCGGAAAAACTTGCTTTTTTGCTATACTGTTTGGTTGCCTTTGAGATAGGATTTGTCTAGATTTGCAGCACTCAAAAATATACGCGGGTTGAGTTATTTCCGGAAAACCGCAAATATTTTTTCACTTTTTGCAGAAGTGCTAGATGTCTCTCGCGCCCTTCAAATTGGTCATCGACTTCCCATCGACATATCTCCCCTCGACGTGGTTGATATTCATACTTCTGGGCCCTCAAAGAGGACGCGAAGGTTATCGTCAGCCCTACATTTGTGGTGAGAGTAGTAACATGTAAAATAATATAAGCGTTTTTAAATCATACTTTTGATGAATATTTTTTTACCTTGAATCAGATTCAGATTGGCATAGTAACTAGATAACCACATAGAGGAAAATTCTAGTGACTTATTAAAATTCTCAAAATGGGGGTATTCAAACTGTTACAACTCAATTTCCCATTAATCTCCGCGTGAATATCTCATTTTACCTAATATTTTGGTTAAAAACTGGTCATTCTCCATTTTTTTACTCTTTGGAAAATATACGAACCTTGTATCTTAAGAACTATTAGATCTAAAAAACTGAAATTTGTATAAATTTGAAATGAAGTCATAGTGACCTTTCCCGTCAGAGAGCTTGCATGTGTTTTGTTTTGCATAAAACAAGAAGAAGTTAAGAAATTCATCGGTTTTTCAGCAATGACTCAACCCAAGTATATTTTATTATGTTGCAAATCTGGACAAATACTATGGAAGGGAACTTAAACAACATTTCAAAAAAGCAAGTTTACCGCATTTATTGAAATTTTGAATGTAATATAATCAAGTCTGGCCTATTAAACTAATTATTAGAATTATGCATTATTGGCTGATTATAGTCAATTGATTGTTCGAAATATGATCCCTGAATAACCTTCGATTATTAGAAGTTGTGGCGATGATTCTGTATATTTCTTGATTATTAGAAGTTGTGGAGATGATTCTATATTTCCTGATTCTATCTGATATAACAGCTTTGAAAATAAAGCATTGTCTAACATATCCCTGTGCCTGGTCATCCCCTAACTTTAGACAATTCCAAACTAGACCATTCATTTTTCTTTCTTTCGGAAAATTGATTGGATTCAACAGAGAATTAGGCAAATGATCGGCAAATACTAGGAAGCTAATTAGCGAAAAAAACAACCTGTAAATTATATTAATAACTGAATGAGTTCAACAGAGACAAAGAAGAGCAGTATACATCTTATTCCAAATCACTTTAGAATGGAAACAGATTTGTCTCTACCTGATGGAATGACAAATTCATCAAAGGACCCTATAGTATAAATCATGATGTATTGGAATGCATATGGTAAATTATATTCATGAAATGGTTGAATACCTCACCTTATATAATAACCAATGGTCACTATTCAGTCCATCACTTATCTCCCTCTTCTTCATGTCTGCTTGTTTTTCCTTTCCTAATGGAATTTGGAATGCATCCTTGAAATCCAAGGAAGCCGCAATTGCAAGAACAGGATTGAGACAACTGAATATGGCACCGAATAGAATCATTTTTCCTACTTGAGGAGCGACAGGCAGCTTGGCCAAATGATAGCCCAAAGGAGTGAGGTTTTCATTGTCATCCAGAGCATTCAATCTTTGCAGTAGATCCAAGGATAATTGAATAGCTTTTGAATCTGGTGGATCCATCAGTTTTGGAAAGAACTCTTCGATTTTACCTGGGACATATTTTGTTGATTTAAATTGATTTCTTCTTCAACTTTATATACTAACCGAGTTGTAGAATTTTCGCCTGTAATATGGTCGAATCAAGTCGAACACGAATAATCTCTGGTTTCTGGTATTTCTCTATAATCATGTGTCTCGCCCTACTATACATGTGAAAACACACACCAGGTTTCACTCTACCTGCTCTGCCCCTTCTTTGATCAGCGTTTGCAACACTCACCCACAAGGGTTCCAATTTTTCAGTGTTTGAATCAACATCAAAATGAGTCATTTTTATTTTTCCACAGTCAATCACAAAAACCACATCATCTGAAATAAAATATTTCTTTTTATTACGAACTATTTCACCATCCGATTTTTTTTTGGGTATCATGATCATTATTCAGTTTGTAAAAAAATCATTCATACCTATTTGAAAAGCTGAACAGCATAATTCTGACAAACCCTTTGTTTATATTGAAGAGCTTAACTTGAATATCTGTATGACATAATATAGTGCAAACTCTTATCTAATATTAGTAGTGAGTTGTATTGTTGTCATAGATGAGCAACCAGTTGCCAATAAAAAAATTGGTTGTGCTAGAGTGTCTATGAGAACTAACGTTCAATGCTTTTTAAAATGTGAACACACACTTGTCATGCATTGAAACATCTGAAGAAACAATATGAGACAGAAATGCTTGTTATAAGAGATGGAAGTTGTATTGTTGTCATAGATGAGCAACCAATTTCCAATAAAAAATTGGTTGTGCTAGAGTGTCTATAAGATCTAACGTTCAATGCTTTATGAAAAGTGAAGACACGCTTGTCACGCATTGAAACATCTGAAGAAACAATATGAGACACAAATCGTTGTTGTAAGAGATGGAATAAATATTTCCGTACAGACATATTTTTCACTGTAACCCAAACAGTAGCATATCACTGATGGCATCTTATTTCGTTACATTATTTTGTTTGTTGTTTAAAATAAAATACTTGCTCATCGACAACTGGCCAGATATCCACATATACCTAATTTAAGCAAATAAAGTACCAAAATAAGAAAAGTATTCTTTGTAGGGATCGACCGATATCGGTATCGGAGAGGATTAGACGACTGTCTAAGTTAAGGATGAAACTGTTGATTTCCTTCGGGTATGCAGTCAAAGAGAAAAACAAAGTGTACTCTTGTTTCTGTTCAAGCTTTCGAGTCTTTATTGGCTCTTCATCATGAACTCTATAATGTTCGCAATGTAACAATGTTCGCAATGTAACAAGAAATATATAGGCCAAACAAAAAGAAAAATCAAAGACCGCATCATATCCCACAAAAGTAACATTAGATTGTCCAAATTAACTTCTTCCTTAGCACATCATGTGAATACCTATGATCACAGACCAGATTATGATAATGTGACAATATTAGAACATGAATCAAACTTGAAAATATGAACCTTTTTAGAAATGACACATATTTTCAAATCAACGAACACTATTAATACTAGAACTGACATAGACAATTTAAGCATAATTTACTCTCACCTTTTAAGTTTACCAGCTAATCGCAATAACATAACAATCATTGAAGAATTTTAAATTTCCCGGTAAAAACGAACAGTTGGCAATACCATCATTGGAATGTCCATCTCTTCTTCTATTTTTATTCACTTTAATGAATTACCGTTATTTCTGAATTTTGAATTTTGACAATTGACTCATGACAGATGAAATTTTGATCATTACATAATTCATTCAGACAGGTGTCCATGTTACTGTTCTGCTTCTGTTCGTCAGCCATGTTGTAATATTTGCCGCAGCAAAAATGCTTTGCAAGTTTTCTCGACTAAAATCAAATATAATGTAATAATTTTCATCTACTTTCAAAAATATTGATGTTTTCATGTTGTGAATGTTCTTTTACACATGTATTATTCCCCACTTAATGGAAGCCAGCTTCAACAAAACCTCATTTTCCGTAAGTGTTTTATAATCGATAACAAGGATTTAATTTCCATATCAATTTTAATTGTTTTATAGAGTTCCTGATGAAGAGCCAATAAAGACTCGAAAGCTTGAACAGAAACAAGAGTACACTTTGTTTTTCTCTTTGACTGCATACCCGAAGGAAATCAACAGTTTCATCCGATATCGGTATCGGTATATCGGCCATATCGGCGTGTTTGGCCGATATCGGTATCGGCCAATATGAAGAGGCAATATCGGCCTATATCCGTATCGGCTTAGTAATAATAAAATAAAATATAATAGTCTTTGAAATGGTGTAACTTTTTACCTGAAAAAAAAAATATATATATTTTGTTTAAAATAATACATATTTACTCAAAAATATTAAAAAACAAACAAAAATTCTAAGAAAGAAACCAAATATTGAACACAATATATTCAAAAACAAACATGAAATTCTAAAAAAATACCAAACTCATTTTTAATATTAAAAAATCAAAAGTAATTCTAAAAAAGATAGTTACAAAACAAATATCAATATTTAAAATTAAGTTTCGGTAAATTATGTAATAAAATTAAATTTTTAGCTCTTTCAGGCGTTAGTCGATTTCTAGCGCCCTCGTATACGTTTCCAGCTGAAGAAAATAGCTGTTCGCTCGCTACACTACTGGGGGGGGGGGTGCTAAATATATAATTGCCTTGGTTGCCTTTGGTTTTCCACCATTTTGAATATATTTTTCAAGGAAAAAACAATACTTGAAATAAATCGGTATCGGCCGAGATCGGTATCGGCCTTACAAAATCATATCGGTCGATCCCTAATTCTTTGCAGAAATAATTTGCTCCATTCTCGGTTCATACATTTGAAATATACAGGGTGTCCACTAAAAGGAGGTCAATCCATTAACCATATATTGCTTGAACAAAAACAATATGAGTATCTAAATACCATTTTTCATTTTAGCCCTTCTTATTCGATATACAGGGTGTCAAAGTTGAAAATTAAAAACTGTTTTTTTCTAATTACTCGCGTAATTAATAAGATATTAATCTCAAAATAGGTACATTACTTCAGCACAAAGAGTTACATCGTGTGAGGAAAACAAAACAGAAAATAACTGTCAAATATTCAAAATACTGGGGGTCAAGTACACACTTACCCCCATATTTTTTTTGTACGTGCGCTAATGACTTCCTATCTATTTTTCTTCATGTGTTCAATCATTTTTGAGTATTTTTAGATTTTTGTAAAATTTCGATAAAATTATTTGATTTTAAGATAATTCGAAAAGTACTGGTTATTGTTTGATGCCTTGCGGCTTACGGTAATCTCATAATGTTCACATACTCCTATTTATTTCGTCGGAATTGGAAGAGGGCGTATCTTATTACGTACGGAAAGGTGAATATGGAAATACCGGGTGCTCAGAGCGAATGTATTAAAATAATTTTTACACTTTAAAATTTTTTTTTTTTTTTGTAAAAATTATTTTAGTAGATTTGTACGAAGGCCTTTGAAGAGTTTTTATTTTTTTTATTTTATGTGTCCCTTCCAGGCCTTCGTACATTTGCTCCAAGCACCCGGTATGTACGTAAAAAGATACGCCCTCTTTCAATTTCGACAAAATAAATAGGAGTATGTGAACATTATAGTGGCCAGGTAGCCGTGCGGACAGAGTGTCTATATTCTAATTCGCATTCGCTTGCCGGTCGTGGGTTCGATCCCCGTCGACTGCAGAAATTTTTCTGATGGCCCAAGAAAGTGTTTGGGATCACACGTTAAAAGGTAAGGCCCCCGTCATTCCTTGCTCGCACAAGACTTTCGAAGACTTTTGAGGGTTGCTCGTAAGGGGGCAACCGAATGACGGATAGAACAAATTTTAGAACAAATTTTAGAACAAAAAATTATGAGATTACCTAAGCCGCATAGGCATCAAACAATAACCAGTACTTTTCGAATTATCTTAAAAACAAATGATTCAATCGAAATTTTACAGGAAACAAAAAATACTCAAAAATGATCGAACACTTGAAGGAAAATAGATAGGAAGTCATTAGCGCACGTACAAACAAAATATGGGGGTAAGTGTGAACTTGACCCCCAGTATCTTGAATATTTGACAGTTATTTTCGGTTTTGTTTTCTTCACACGATGTAACTCTTTGTGCTGAAGTAATGTACCAATTTTGAGATTAATATCTTATCAAATACGCGAGTAATTAGAAAAAAACAGTTTTTAATTTCCAACTTTGACACCCTGTATACCGAATATGAAGGGCTAAAATGAAAAATGATATTTAGAAACTCATATTGTTTTTGTTCAAGGAATATGTGGTTAATGGATTGACCTCCTTTTAGCGGACACCCATATATGCCTACCGTCTATAAGGACACTGCGTAAAAAGTTTTCTACTGCGTAATTTATGTATCTTTGCGAATTTTCTCATAAATGTCACCACTTATATAAAATGAAAGAACATTCGTTACAGATTTTAATCAACACAGCTGATCGGCAACACGTGAATACAAATTGAAATCAAGTATTTTATTCATATTGGATCTGCAGATTGATCTGTTTGATTGAGTGTGCAATTATGAATGGAATATTTTGATTATTTATTTTGTGTTGAAATTATACTCTTTCGTAATCATTTTTGTTATCAAAAAATGTCAATGCATTATGTGTTTTGAAACTGCATCTCAAAACCTCAAAACCTCAAATTTCCATGTGTTCTTTGAACAACAACAATTTTTTAGAAGGAATATAGGTAACTTTTTTTCAGTCGTGAAACTATAATAATGAACAATCTAAAATGAATAAATATATGTGGCAATTATGTCTCGTCTCAATTATTATTGTGAACCAGTTACAGATGAGGAATGGATCGTTGAAGATTCAGTGGACATTAGTACGATTTAGCAACCTCAAAATATTTTTATATACAACGGAAACAACGCGGGCGTTTGTTGCATGAGTAGAACTTTCAACTCAAACTATGTTTAGAATGAACCTTTTATACATAAATAATGATTGACGACATAATTCGATCGAAAAATTAACTGGGATGTTTTATTTTTGGACATAAAAAATAGTATCTTCTGAAAACGGACCCTCTTATGACGTAGAAACCTCATCTCGCCATAGTTGAAAGAAAATACCAAACGCCCGACGGAGACTAAGGCAACTGATATATTAATTCTTTCAACAGTGTTCTCGCGCTAATTCACTCTGTCAGAAATCATGTATCATTCATCTCTGTCTGAAATAGTCTTGTTTCAGTATTAGGGTTTTGTCGTCACATCATCGCCTCGTTTTCAGAGGTCCGAAAAATCGGGGATTTCAATAATTTTTTATAAAACGTAAGGAGCTCACAGCAAGAAACGGTTTGCGGTGATAATCTAGTTGGGTGAGTCCTATCGAATTAAGAAATAAATTTTTTTTGTGATATAAGCCCATTACATAGGATGCAAGGGTTCTCTTGATCTTTTATCTTCTCGCAAAAGAGTAGCCATTCCAATTTTCGAAGGCAACCAGAGAAATATTCCCAAACGTTCAAAACCCTCGATCTCCATCAGAAAACGCAGATTTCCGTTAGGATCATTTGATGGTAACGCAGGAGAAGAGAACTAGGTGTCGACATTGCCATAAAAACGTTCCACCAAATGCGAAAGCCCTATCATATCAGAGACTAGTTGAATCATGATTTCATGTTCAGAGTGGTTTTTGTATCATTTTAAGAATATTGATATAATATACGCAATTCGCTCTAGGAAATGTCACTCATTCGCGTACTGTCCTTTAAAAAGGACATTGTCTTTTTGGAAACTTCAGCTTTCGAATTATTTTTCAAAATTTTGCTGTTACCCCTTTTTGGAATACTGAACTAGTTTTGAAACAATATATCTTCAGGCATATCTAGGTTAATAGACGCAAAAATTGAAAAAAAAAACTTAACATGACCACTGACTGAGACTATCAAACATGAGTAAGTATCTAGTTTCGCAATTCGTAGGAGTGAATAAACGTTTTCTTCTAATTGACGAAGTATAAAATCATCTTCATTGAAGAGTAACCCCAAAGGTAGTTGTCAAGTATTACAACAAATGAATCTTTAATAATATGGGTGCTCTATTACTAATTTGAAATTATCATGAAGACCGCTAAATACGAGTAGACATAATAATGATTTTCGAAAAAGTGTGCTCGCATTTTGTAAACTATTTTCCTAAGTTTTTTTCAATAAATATTGCAAAAATGTGTGATAACACTATTGAAGAAGCTGCTGCATAAATAATGGTAGATTTATTGGCAGAAATATCCTAGCATAGGGAAGTAAAATACTCACATCAGTACTCCCGCTTTTGGAGGTGTAAAATCACTTATTATGTATATGGGCCGTGTAGAAACTGTTTTTTATATGTACTGAATATTGTACATTATTATTGTGACTTGCCCCCTCCCCTAAGATTATTTCTGCGGACGCCCCTGGTACCTCATTGTTTTATCGGAAACCGTTAAGAAGGAACAGCTTTGTGTTATAGCCGTTAAAAAAAGCTTCATTTGGAAATGAAACGATATACATGATACAGGTCCGAGCAACACAATTTCGTGCACAATGAAGCGACAAAATTGTCTCGAATATTTAGAACATCGTCGTGATATTACTAAGGATTATTTACCTTATTATGAAATATACCAATATCAAATACCACCATTCTTTTAACGAAATTTGTTCAAATAAGCAGTGGCGGCTCCTCAGAGGAGGCAACGGAGGCTGAGCCTCCTCAGAGATTTTCCTCAAACTGATATTATCTATACTTTCTCATTAAAAGGACACCAAAATAAATGGATTTTGATTTTATTCCCTGTTTTTAGGAAAATATGTTTGAATTGGTAACAGTGCTTGCCCACGCATCACACGTTGAAGTCTGCAAATCACGCGTAAAATATTCAACTTGGCAACATCTATAGGAGGCTAGACTCCTTCACAAGCGCAACCCACGCGCGCAATGCAAATGCCCGAATACGCCCGAATAGCATGTGTTTGTCGTGTCGCGTCGCGAATTGCGGACAATCCAGCTAGGTTAATAATGATTTGAAAAATTTGCCTCGCGGATTGGATAGACAGTTCAGGTTAACTGGTAAACAGAATGTCACTAAAGCTATTGATTTGGGTGAGTAGAGAGTTGTTTTTCACAATAAATCTCATATCATTCAGCCTCCTCTGTCATGAAAGTCACGAGCCGCCACTGCAAATAAGTGAATAAATCTCAAGACCTATTTAACCGCGGATAAATTTTTGTCCTCCATATTGTTTTTCGTTATGTCGATTATCACTGATTCTTACTATTATTGGCGACAGTCTATGAAAATACATTGATTTCTCAATCGGTATTATGACCTAATATTAATCTTCATGAGCAAATACTCTATTTAAGATTGATTTTTCATACAAATAATTTGACATAAGGCGATGAAAATACGTCAGAATTTGCAATATTTACATACATTTGCTATAATGGTTTCTTCGATGAATAACCAAGGTAATATAAACACGTATCAATAATTGAGAATGATACTGAAAAGTCGTTTGAATTGATTAAACGATTTGGTTAATGAGAATTCACGTTTTAGTTTTTCAGAATCAAATTCATCTTTCCATCCAGAATTCTATTAATAATTATTAATGCAATTGAAATAGTACTTTTTTCTGCTTAGTTAGGTACTTACAACAATTGAACACTTCCAAATTCACAATTTTTAATGAAACACTTATGTAGTCGTATATATACATATATAACTAATTTTTATGAAGAATCCTCTGATGACTCCAAGAATCGCATTATAGATTACGGACATAATGCAAAATTATATTCTTCCAAAAATTATGAGAACGCGAGCAAGCTTCAGATACATACTTTGTGGTTTTGTTAGTGAGCCAAGTGGTAACAACTGTCATCATTCATGCAAATTTGGTAAGTTGAAAAACTGACTGATTTTGTAGCTATTATTTTTGAATGATCGGAAAAATGTTATAGGTATTTTGCATGTAGAATTATCTCTTAATTTCGTCTGGAATGAGAAATGGAATTCTAATTTGTAAAATTTGAATGCTCTTCAGTTTATATACAGTGTCATTCATAAAGTCGGCGTCATAAGGAAACACCTTTAATATTTATTTATTTCGAAATCTGACTTGCGCATTAGGTTTTGCTTTAAAAAAGATGAAAAATGGCCTTTTCGGTCGGAATCACGTGACTTTCTCTACATGTCAAAAGTCACATTTTTTCAAATTTATTTCTTGGCTCGTCTGGTAGATAATAGATAACCCCCAACCACACTAGTGCCGTTACGCGGGAACAATATCGGGCATCCTTACCGAACGTTATATGTTAGCACTGGGTACAATTTTTCGGGATATGCCTTTTATTTTCGAAATAATGTTTCATTCATAATGAAATGAGGTGCTTACCTATGGTGACTGAGGTTTCAGCAATGTTTGTGGAAATAATTATTTTTCTTTTGCCTGTTGGGGCTGGTAGGAATATCTGTCTTTGATCAACTGTCGACATTTGGGAATGTAATGGAAATATCACGTATTTTGAAGTGGGAAATTTCTTGGATGTTTCTAGTTTTTTATACAGATTAGAAATTTCTGCATATCCAGTAAGGAAAACTAGAAGTGCTCCATCTTCTTTGCGCTAGAAAAAAATAAGTAGTTACACATATCAAATTACCTATAATGGAAGGTGAAATATAGAATTATGAATCGAAATCATTATGAAGGAAATTTTGTCACATCTGTGACTAGTTCTGGTAGAAGGTAGATTATCGGATGGTTAATGACCCAAATGAGAAATGGAGATGATGAAAATAATTTTTTATAAGTCAATTGTAAATTTTTATTACATCGTACCCATTGTGTTATTGCTGGTGAATGGAATTAGCAATATTTGTTTCAAATCATCAACTGATTTCTGCATCTATTCAAACCAAAATTAGAACATGGTAGGTACCCTTGAATGGGTCTGCTTGAAATGTGATAGTATCAGAAGCTTAATAATTAGTTAGTGGTAGAGATAATATTAATTATTTTTTAATATTAATATCGATCTATTTTTGTACTAAGCTCAACAACATAAGTTGTAACACACAGTTGAAAAATTGGAGCCGAAGATGAGTCATTCAATTCTATATCAAGCATATCTAATTTTTTATTTGCCTTATTGTTTCTTAGTACATTTGAATTTTTATAATATATAATTTCAGTGTGATAAAACAAAAATTGTTTCATCAATTGATGAGCGATTTGGTATACTAGCTGCCCCACCAATTTTCAAAACCCTATCTCGAATAATTCAAAAGTTACAGTCCTGGTCGTTTTTTGTGCACTTCTCTGTATATGAACTTTTTTATTATTTCAATGAGTACAACACACTGTTGAATTTTTTGTATTACAAACCGGACCACCCTGTATAATACAGAATTGATTTGAGCATTCAAACTAGAGAAGGAAATAATATTTCCGCCAACAGACGTGATAGCAGACCAAGAAGGAGGTGTACCAACTACTGTAATGAGTATACCAGCAACTACATTACATAATAGACTATAGAGCAAAAGAAAAAATTAAACCAAGGTAGGTAACAAGAAATATGCACTATACATTATCTACAATTGAAGAGGGCTTGACATTTGACATTTTGATATTTGACGGATGAATAATGTTACTGTATTCACATTTACCTCTAAAATTTTGAAATATAGAAAAATACATGGTTTCTATTAAATATTCAAAATTCAGGCTTTTTCTAGGTAACGACGTCTTACCCAATTATTATAAGATCCAGTAATATAATCATCGATAAATTCCTTAACATTCTTTTAAATTAATTATAAGGGTGGCGGGTGGCCGATTCTCATGCAACACAAAGTTTTTGCGCAGGTATTTAACACTTCCAGGGCACCCAATATAACCAATACTCAACTCAAGTTTTTGAAAAAACTAAAATTATTACCGATTCACAAATGTGGACAACCAAGTCGAAAATCAAATCCAAATTAATCTTTTCACTATCAATATCTTTCAGCTGTTCACAAACTTGCACATCATACTGTCCTTCTGATTTTAACTGTCGAGCATATGGTACAATGTACTCCTTGAATTCAATATGTGCTGGGTCTTTATTATCTTGTTTTTTCTTCCAATAAAACCTATTTCCATTCTGTGGGCCTAAAGAACAAAAAAAAATTAGGATCATCAGGAACATAAATATATTGTTTTCAATGCTAATTCCAAAAACATATGTCAACGCTTGGAAGTGAAATCTACTTCCTCCAGTCTACACCGAATGTAGAATTATGTCCCTTCAGGATTATTCAATGTGGTTCATGGGTACAAGAGTTCTGGGGGAATTAGCAGGCAACAAAAAGGGTAAGGTCTCAGACTATATAACAATAATATTCATTTGAATGAATATTATTGTTCAGTAGCATCAAAAATAACCAAAGATATCATACCAATAGTAGATCCACTTCATAATTTGAACAAGATGAGCTCTCCTATGGACTCCCTTTTTTTGTATGATACATATTTGAGTGAACTTAAATCTGTGATAATAGAAATCAAAAATAAAAACTCTGCTGGTGAAGACAACCTCTCAGCAAAGCTGCTCTTTCAATTGCCGGATGAAGCTCTTGAAGCCTTAGTAACAGCTATAAATACATCGTTTACCACTGGTGTGTTTCCTTCACGCTTAAAATCTGCGAAAGTGTTACCACTCCACAAAGGAGGTGCCATTGATGACCCTAGTAATTACAGACCGATCTCAATTCTATCAACGTTATCAAAAATCATCGAAAAACTAGTCAAACGCAGGATGGTGGGCTTTTTGGAAAAGCACAAGATTTTAACTCCCGTACAATTTGGTTTCCAATTTGATAAAAATACGACAGATGCCATTTTTAATTTACTTGAAAACATTTACACAACTCTAAACGACAAGGAAGTGGCTGCGGCAGTATTTCTGGACTTTTCTAAGGCGTTTGATTGTGTGTGTCATGAGATCCTCCTGCAGAAACTTTTCCATTATGGATTTCGGGGAACAACATTAGAATGGTTCAGATCTTATCTCACTGGTAGAAGCCAAAAAATATCTCTGAACAATAATACTTCCGGAAGTGGAAAAATAGTAAACGGAGTTCCTCAAGGGTCAGTCTTGGGCCCAATTTTATTCTTGCTGTATGTTAACGATCTGGCTAAATTGGATATATCTGGAACATTCACCTTATTTGCGGATGACACCACGGTATTTTGGCGTAATGGAGATCCGGCCATTTTGACTCGAACAATACACTCTGATTTAGAAAAAATAAAAAATTGGTGTGAATCGAATATGTTGTCGCTGAATTTTTCTAAAACAAATCTGGTCACATTTAAGTGGGATTTGGATCAGGTAACTTTAGGTTGTCAGACGGTTGAAAGTAAGCTTGTAACGAAATTCCTCGGTATATTCATTGATAGTAATTTGAAGTTTGACACACAAATTAATGCACTGAAAAAGAAATTGTCTTCTGGTTGCTTTGCCGTGAATGTCATATCTCGTGAACTCGGATTTTCAGCTTCAATGACCGCATACTATTCACTCATGGAGAGTCATCTTAGGTATGGAATTCCATTTTGGGGCTCTGCCTGCCAGGTTTTATTGCAAAGTATATTCGTCATTCAAAAAAGAGCTATGAGAATAATATTCAAAAAGAGGATTCGCGACTCGTGTAGGCCAATTTTCTGCAAATATAAAATACCAACAATATTCGAAATTTTTATTATAGAGACTGTTTGCTTGCTCCACAAACATAAAGAAAAGTTCTTGAATCGAGCAGAAAGGCATACACGAAAGGAGATGATACTTGTCCTTCCACTCCCCACATCAACTTTGACCAAGCATTCTCATATCTATAGAAGTAGACAGATATATAATCATTTACCGAAACAAATAACAGCAATCAATGATCAGAAGCAATTTAGGAAATCGGTAAAAAACCTTGTGATGGGAAAGTGCTTTTATAGTTTGGAAGAGTATTTTGCATCTAATTTCTAGTCTTTCTATATAAATGTTACTATCTACATCAAGATTTAATAAACTGTAGTTGTGAAAGCACGTGTGTACCGTACCGTATTATACCCTTTGTGTAAATATTTTTTTAGTCTTGTTTCTTTTACAATAGTTTGTGTTTTATATATATGTTATACCTTTGTCGACGAAATGTAATACATTTTAGACAATAAAGATTATTCTCTCTCTCTCTCTTGACACACTGACACACATGAATGAACAAAATGGCAAATGGTGGGAATAACTCTGCTTAATCATTGCCAGAGAATTGATATATTTAATAGATATATTCAATAGATATATTCAATATATCTTATAAACTAGCTCCCACGTGTTGTAAAATAAGTATATTGAATACGCTTTTCATCAACAAAAGGAAGTCAAATAACAACGACCAAATTTCTATGTACCTGACATTTCACAGGGTATTTGTAAATAACTTTATCTCGCAGATTTGACACTGCCGAACAATATTTATTCACAAAAAAGTCAGCTTTAGATTTATAATACGATTACGTCAATTTAAAAACAAAATCCCAACCGCTCGCCAGAAATGGCGGTATCAGTTCAAACCTGCAGTCCTTCATATCGTTCGTGACTTGATGAAAGCAAGGTAATCTGAAAAAACCGAATTGTTTAGATACTATAAGCCCAGCGTATTGAACGTCTTCATCCTCTCCTTTTCGTCCCCGGTCTTCTTTGGCGAGTCGAACTGGAGAATAACTGATAAGTTTATGATCATAAGTCGTGAATTACTGAGAAAGTGTTGTTGAGGGTATATCATTATGATATAAAAGTTGTTCAACTTTTTGACATAAGCTATTTATGCCGAAATGTTTTAACCGGAACATCCTCCTTAATTGTCGAGTTTGCAACGGGTCCACATAGGTCTTCTGATTGTGAATGTCTCTTCCGCAGTGAAAATAAGCAGCATGAACATATTTTTTCTGCAACCAACACAAAAGTCGTCCATTTTAATTCCAAAATCAGCTCTTGAATTGGCGTTTCTATTACTGAAACAAACATAGGTATGTTGCTAGGCAACACTGTTGCTAAAGTTGAACTTAAGCTCCTAGGAATTAAAAAGAATGTGCAGGTCATCAAGAATAAACAACATTGTTACATTTGGTTATTTGGGCTGGGACGCATACCTGATTTGTTTCCGATTTCAGCAGATTTGGCATTTCATACCCATGCTGGAGATATAAATACACCATATTATAGATAAGTATTTTTGTTTTGATCAGGAAAGCCTTCAAGATTCACATAGTTGCTTGATCTGTATTTCATTAGTTATTCTCGGAATGGATAATTTGTTTTTGAATAATGACGGCCAGCAATACTTTTTTGTCTCACAACGATATTGTTCATTTTCATTTGATTACCGATCCAAACACAGTGTAGTATGGAGGGAAATGAATAATCGCTATTATTATTGCTGATATGCTCACTAACCTAACATTTAACACATGTTTTTTCTATATCTGGCACTGGCGCGGTACTTGCTATTAGTGCTGACACCTGGTCCACACACAAATGGGTCACTCTGTGGTTGTATTTATATTGAAACTTCAATTCGAACATCCTTGAAAATTGAATAAACCTGATCTGTAAATGCAGGTAGTCTCACCACACGGATTATTTGTTGCATTGCATACATATGGCACGGTGGTTACTTCACAGATTTATTTTAGTTAATTCTTTCGGTTGCAGAAAAAATAACATGTTTCATTCGGATCAATAGTGACTTTATTTGACTCGCTTTCGCTCGGCTTCACTAGACGCTCCGCCTCGCAAATGCAAAATTCGCTTGTCAAACAAAGTGCCATTTTTGATCCTAATAAAACAATCTACCATTTTTAGCTAGTAATTTTTTTAATTTTTGTATCTTGCCGTGAACGTCGAGTGATACGATTTTCGTTCCTGTCTTCCTAACCCAATTTAGATAGTATACCGGATGATACAGACTCATGGTATACCCTTCTCTTCTTCTTTGTTTGTCTACCTATATCTCTTAAATTCGAAACATCGAATATGTTGACTGGAGACGCTTCAGCTAGCGTTTTGATATATTCTTGGTGGTAGAGCTGCACTTATCATGCGATGGGTTTTTTCCGAAAAATGTTTTGGTACTTACGTATTTTCATCTGAAAAACACGAATTTCACAATGAAAATGTGAATAAACCGCTATTTATCGAAATTTCATCTTCTTTTGCAATCCATCTAGGATATTCATTCACAACTACTTGTCCTTCTTTTACCATCACTGGACACTCACGTTGTACTGCAATTACACATTTTATTTCCTGAAATCAACATGAAGTATGGTTTATTTGGATTTTTTCATATTTAGTGAGGTGACCTTTATTTGACATACCAACCCATACTTCTTGTTGATCTTAGAAAAAGAAATGTGTTATTGAAGCACAACGTTGGTATATAAAATGTCCAATGATGGCAAAAGGACAAATAGTTGGAAATGAAAATCCAAGATGGGTCGCAAAACATGGTGAAATTTCGCATTTTTTCGTAAAATATCTCAATAGATATCAGTTTGTTCACATTTTCATTGTGAAATTCATGTTTTTCAGACGAAAACACGTGAGTACCATAGTTGCAGTTGCACCTTCTTGGTAGCAGCAGATTTAGAGAATAAAGCTGAAAAGAAGAAACTTTCCTCAGTTTTCCTCAATTTGATAGGTGACGAAGGGGTGGAGTTGTACAATATGGCACTCCCACTACACTACCTGTGAAATACAAGCATATGAGGCTTGGAGCACCTGAGGTTCTACAGTATATGCAGACAGAAATGCCCTACGAATCATATCATCTATATTGTGACAACTTCTTAACTTCACTTTCTCTCCTCAAAGAATTAAGTTGAGAAAAATAAAGGCTACTGGTACGATCAGGAAATACCGCATTCTGAAGTACCCGTTCACTAAAGGAACAATTTTTTTTTTCACGTGAATTGTCATACAAATAACAACAGAATATATTTAAAAATAATACGAAATGGTATGAACAGCGTAGAATAAAATTGTTGGATTCCGGGCCATACCAATATTTTGGGAAATGAGAAGGCAGATAAAATTGCCAGAAATTCAAATTTGATGA